AATGTGGCAGCATAAAGATGGGAAGTGCATAAAACCATGTATGGGGTACCCCACGGTTACAGCACAGAAGCAAGAAAGGATGAACAGGTTTTAGAAAAACCTGTTCAGACCATTTCCCTACCTCAGACCTGCCATGGCATCATCATGCCCTAGGATTAATCCTGTCACTTGGCTGCTGCAGCCACACTTGAGGAGTGTGAGCAGGTACAAGGAACTGAGGGGAATCACTGCCATCACTGGTTTTATTTGGGATGCCTGCTTCTCTGCTCCCCTCTCTAACCACATTTCGGGTGAGTAAGGGAACTTGACGTGAGCAAAGCATCTGGATTTGCAGCTGCTTGAGCAGCAGCAGGCCCGTGGTTTGTGATGAGAGGTTGGGCTTGGGGTTGTGCAAGGGGAAAGGGCCACTCCTCCTTTTTCCAAGATCTCTCTTTGCATCCTTGAACTTGCTGGAGTGGAGTCAGTGAAGAAGGAGCCTCAGAGGCTTGTCAGGCACTCATGCCTGGGTTAATCTGCAGTCACAAACTCTGTAAAGAGGACAGCAAGCAGGGTCTTATAGCACCCACTTTTCTCTGTTTCATCCCATCTTTCTTAGTGCACAGGGTCTTTACAATGAAACACAGAAGAAGGAAGTGTTTTTATGCACTTCTGAACCTGTGTCTCCACACAGGGCATCTAGCAGGGTTTTTATGTCATCAGTGTGTTCACGAGAGTCACAGATTGAAACACAAAGCATTTCACATACTCCCATGTAGCACAGGACATTTGCTGGCTTTTGGCTCCATGGAAAGGCTGGGGAGAATCTCATTACTCATTGGTAAAATCACCTGGGATAAAGACGAGATCAAGGGGGAGTGTCTAGTCTTTTAAAGATTCAACTTTTCAAAAATTTCTTGACTCATTGTCTATTTTGCTTGGAAATCCCTGTAAAATAGTGCATTGCCCTCAAAGGATAAATCATACAAGTTTGGAGTGAATGTGCTATTCACAGAAAATGAGGGATCTGAGCTGCAGAAGTACCTGCAGAGTGGGAATCCCAGGTGCAGGGTCCTAGGCAAAGTCAGCAATGCCATTAATTTATGAGTAGAAATACCAGCTGCTGTTGCCAAGGTAAATAAGGAACCAGATGGAAAAAAAGCAAAGCAAGGTTCAGAAGGGCAGAGAAATGGGGAAGGCAGGAAAAAGAGAATGGCTTTGGAGCTTCTGTTCACCAGGACTTATCTGGAGGTTCCCAACACTTTGAGGCTGCTTCTCCAGAGCATTGCTGAGTCTTTAGCTGCCTTTTACTGTCAAATGTCTCTGCAAGACTTCTGTGCCAGAGGAAATCTGCTCTCATGTGCTGCTGGCTGCATGTGTGGTCAGGATAGCAAAGCTCTCTGTGGCTGAGGAATTTCTGAGTTAAGGCTTGGGCAAAGAGTGCAGGAAATAGGGATATGGGCTAAACAGCTCTCCTGACTCTCAGATCAAACAAGAAGGAACGATTCTGCTCTACACTCCTTTCTGTTCCAGTTAGCCTTGCTGTAGGGGGCATCTGCAGCACAGGCATAGTTTGGATGAAGCAGGCTTTTGTGCCCAGGGAAGAGAAAGTCAGCCCTTCCATCAGTTCAGCATTCCACATGCCACGGGCTTCCACTGATGGAGTGATGTGTGTGCACAGCAAGAGTGGGGGGGCTTCAGAGGGGTGGGAAGAGGAGGGATTTTTTTCTAGAAAAGCCATTAAAAATTATTTCCATGGTGAATATCTTCCCCTTGGCTGCAGAGACCATTCAGCACAGAAATGGCACAGAACTGGATTTTCATTTTTGCTTTGCAGTTCACCTCTAAAGCGAAAGGGGACTTTTGTAGGGCTTAATGACTCTTCATGGACTTTGGTTCCTTCAGGTTTGCAGCATTCAGGTTGCAGTTTCAAGGGTGCAGAGCCTTTTAAGGGTAGACATGACATCAGCAGGAGTTTCCAGCCCCTGCACATGTACTCCCGAGAAGGTTTTTGTTCTCCTTTTGGTTGCAAAGGAGACTCTGAGGGGCAAGGTAGGGAGAACCTCATGTAACTCATGATGTGATGTCACCCTGACATTTACTGTACGCCTACTCTTCCCCTATTGCTGCAAAAGAAAATAGAAAATGGTCTTTATCAATCCCAAATTTGACAGGATGTTTGACTGGCTGCTCTTTCGAGTCTCTCCAAAAATAGTAAGAGCTGCACTGTGAGAACAAGCAAAGATGTGGTCAAAGATAAAAACACACGTACACACAAACACACACACACAAGTGCGGGAGAAGGAACTTCAGGAATCACAGCCTGAAGTGTGCTGCTTTTAAGGTGAACAGAAAGAAATGCTTTCTCACACAGCATGTAATCAAACTGCACAAGTCATTGCCAGAGGATGTTGTGAATGCCAGAAATATATGTGCATTCCTGAAAGGGCATTCCTGAAAGGGCAAGAACTCTTCCTGCAGGGTAGGTCTAGCAGTAGCAATTTAAATGCTGATGTCAAGAAATCCTGAATTTCAGACTGCAAAGGTTAGCAAGACAAGGCAGTTTTTCTCCTGTGTGGAAGGAGTAGTTTTTCTCTCATTTTGCTACCAGTTGATGGCTGACAGAGGTCAGTGTGCTGAGCAGCACCTGGTCTGCCCCAGCTTGGTTGCTCAGGATCTGTAATGCATTAGAAGGGGAAGTACAGGAAGTGGGGGGGAAAATATTGAAACTTTCCCTTTGGAAGTCCAATGGAGTGGCTGAGTGGAGGGAAACCAGTTAAATAAGAAATTGCTAATTTAATTACATATTCTATTTTATTTAACTTACATTAAAACATTCCATAGTGTCACCAGGACCTCCACAGTATTTTTTGGTGTTTCCTACAGATTTAATGTCAAGTATGCAAGTGGGACAGGGGTGGGTGTGCGGCAGGGGAAGGGAGTGAAATTTATTTCACAGAATCATTTAGGCTGGAAAAGACCTTTAAGATTTTTGAGCCCAAGCTTTAACTCAGCCCTGCCAAGTCCACCAACACATCATGTCCCTAAGTGCCACATCTACCTGTCACATCCCATCACAGCCTGAGTGCTGCACTCTGCCTCTGGACAGCGTGGCTGCACTTAGGCTGGGACTATCAAGAGTGAGCCAGCATCAGCCAGACTTTGCTAGGAGGGGTGGCAGTTCTGAGGCTCAGCTTTGTGCATTGCTCAGCTCACACTTCAGGCAGAGGCTTTGCACGTGGGCTCTCCCTTCCAGTGATGGGTGATCCCCATCCGTGACACACTGCCTGCCAGGACTTTCCTGATTCCTCTCTCAGGTATGTTTGCTGAAATGCTACAATAGGAATAACAGTTCTTTACTAGGAAGAAAACTAAAATTAAAAAAATACAGAAATACAAAAAACCCAAACCCAGATCACTGACAGAGTCAGAATACAACCTGACGCCCTGTCAGTCAGTCAGGGTGTTGGCAGCAGTCCCATTAAATGGTGGCTGCATCCTCCTGCAGTGACAGATGTGGTTCAGTTGAAGCAGTGCTCCAGTAGAAAGATTCAGTTTTCTTCTGAAGGTCCAGTGATGATATAGAAGGGTCTAGTTTTCCTCTGGAATCCAGTGGAAAAAGGCTGCTCTGATGTTCCAAAGCTCAGTTTTTATCTAGGTAGGAAATGTTTGTGGACATTGATGGAGCATCTCCCAATGGGATGATGTAATTTTATCAGTCATGCAGTGGCACTCAGTGGCCCATTAACAGAAGATGCCTCCCTGGAGGAAGGATGGGTTGTGGAAGAGATAAAGAACACTGCCCCACCTGGTCTTTAACGGTGATAGAACACATACTTTTGTATGTATGTAAGCCAAGACAAATAAATGTGTTCTGCAGGGAAAGAAGAGGGAATCTATATCTTTTCAGTCCTGAAGACAGCTATTTCCTTGTTTTTCTGCTCTTGGCCAGTGGAGTGTAACAGATTGATATCCCACTTCCACCACTGGAGATCAGTGCTAAGGCAGTGAGGCAAGCAGGAGAGAGAGCAACCTGATCTGGACTAACAAAGCCGGGTGCAGATCATCCCCAGGCTTGCACTGACACAGGTGAAAGCCCAGCCACCTGCCCTGTGCTGCAGCACAGGGCTGTGTGTCCATGCTGGGACCTTTCAGCAGCAGCAGGAATTCCTTGCTTGGCTGCTCCTTTGTATGTCAGCCCCTGTGAGCCTTTACCCATTGGAAAGGGGAAGGAGTGGGAAAGCAAGGCAGATCATGGCAGCAGGGTGCTTAGTAGGGCAATTACTGCTCATATGGTCAAAGTTGTACCTAATTTCACCCTGGGTGAAATTAGGGTCTCAATTTATGGCTGTGCTCCAGGTGTGGCACCATCACAGTCACTGGTGGAAGTTGGGGAATGTCTGTGCTGGTTCCAAGCCATCCCATGAGCTTTGACAAAGATAAATTTGTTCTAGCTAGACTAGGCAAAATTGCTAATGCTGGAAGGCTGATGACAGTGTGGCTGCAACCTTTGTGTATCATTGTAGGGTTGATTCTGGTTTCTGGGATCTTGAAAGTTTTGGGTTGTTCTTTTTTTACAAAAAAAATAGCTACCAAAAATCCCTCGGCCCCCCTGAACAAATAGTCCAGTGTGGCCCTGTTAGGCATGCAGAGAACCCAGTGGAGAGTGACACAAATTTTCCAAACACCAGGCTCTGAAAAGGGAGAGCAGAGGAGATAGCAGCTTGTGCACGAGTGTTTCTATCCCTGTTTCTATTTCTGTTCAGGCAAGTGACTCTCCTGCCTTTGCCTTCAGCAATCCATGCAGCAATCCTTGTGTGCCTGCTGGGTCATGATCCTGGGTAGGAGTGGAGCATGATGCCCAAGGGTGGCTGCCCTCAGCACAGAGCTGAAGCTGTAAGACAGCTCGGTGGGTGATGAGGGATGTGAGCAGTCAGAGCCAAAAGGGGCGAGCTTTAGGCAGCAGGTCCTGGCACAAGGCTGTTCCACTGGCTCACTGACTTTTGTTTGCCCCTCACCTGCAGGCCAAGCAATGGAGAAGAAAGTAGTCAGAAGCAAAGTGGGGGAAAAGGTCAGCCTGCCTTGTTGCCATCGAATTCCCAGCTCAGAAAGCCTGCACACTTACCGGGTGTACTGGCAGAAGAACATCACGGAAGTGGTGCTGGCCTACTCGGAGGGGAACATGATCTCCAGGCACGAGCGGTACCAGAACCGCACAGAAATGGACCCCTGGAACCTCACCCTGTGGATCTCCCCCATGGAAATCCTGGACAATGGCTCTTACAAGTGCATAGTTCAGCGCAATTCCATCGTGGTGTGTGACCAGTCTGTCATCCTCTTTGTGACAGGTAGGTGGATTGCCTCCTGACACCTGAGGCTCTCCAGTGCCAGCTTCTGGGGGTGAAGGATGCTCTTCCAAGCTCATTCATACTGTAGCAGATAGATTTTCATCAGGAAGCCTGAAAGAAGGTGTGTTAACTGCTTCCATTCCAGCAGCTTCCCTTCTTACCTTTCTAAAAGCAGGTACAGACATTTTTTTTTCCCACCACCAACCTAACCTCCTCCCCTTGGTGCCTTCTTCTTGTGAAAGGATCCCTCCTGGGGCCCTCCCCAGGTACCACTGAGGTAGCCCCTGCTGTCTTTGGGGCAAAGCAAGACCCTTTGTGCTTGGCAAGCATTCAAGGTGAAAGAGAAACAGAGTGGCCACGGCAGCATCCCAGCCCTGCATCCAAATCCCTGCATCCAAATCCCTGTGGAACTGGCTGCACTGCAGCTCCACAGCCTAAGGCTGAATTCATCATGGAGCTTTGAGGCTTTTTACATTAAAGAAACCGAGTTCCTTTGTTCAAGATGAATCTGAATCTTCTCTTAGAGGCCACAAAAAGTTCCACTGGCATTTTCCATTTCCACTGGTGTTTTTGTGGCAGCTGATCTCAAACAAAGACAGATATACTGGTGAGATATATAAATATATACATGCATTTGAATACCTTTAACAGCAGAGAGTTATATGAATCTTCCAGAAAAGTCAGTGAAGGAGCATTCCTCGTCTGGAAGGAGATTTGGCAACAAAAAAAAGACAAGCTCCTGAGGTTTGGCCATTTTCTGCTGGTCAGAGGGCAGAGAGGGCAAGGAGACAAATTTAGTGATCTTTCTGGGAACTGCTATGAAAAAAGGGAAGTGTACTGCCCCCACCCTTTTTTAACCATGAGGGTTGAGGAGTTAACTGCATATAAAACTTAAAGCTAAGGATCTCTTTTCCTGTCCACAAATACTCTGGTTTCTTTCCAGCCAGAAATCCCCTTGCTGTCTTAACAGGCCAGCTGTAATAATTATGGCAGACATCTGCTCCCTTTGGTGAAGTGGCATCAAGTTATTGTGGGGATCAGGAAAAGGAAGTGCTGGAACCAGGCTGGGATGTCTGAAGGGATTTCCCAGGCTGGATGGCAGGGGGCCTGGAAGGAAAACCATCTCTCCTTGCTTGCCACTGCTCAGCAGCACAGTGACTGGTTGCTTGCATGGGCAGAAAAAACTTCCCATGGTGAATGCCCTGTGGGGGAGTCTTTGCTTTGTCCATGGGTTTTGGGAGCTGCAAACCTTGCTGTGGCCTGACAGCATGGTAACCAAATCTCTCTTGCTTCAGCTGACTTCAGCAAGCCCAACATTACAGCAGAAGTGACCGCTGATTCCTGCGACGTGACTGAGATGGTGATAACGTGCTCTTCTCACGGAGGGTTCCCCAAGCCCAAAATCTCTGGAGCCCTCAACAACATGTCCGTGGAGTGGAATGCCAACTGGGTGTCTGAATCCAGCTTCAGCCCATACAATGTCACTGGAAAACTGCTGCTCAATGTCACCAAAGACGTCGACATCACTTGCTCCGTTGAATACAATGGCTTTTCCAAGTCCACCAGTTTGCTTATCAGTACGTTTTATTAATGATTTTTTGTAACCAAACTATTTTGTTGAATCTGCTGAGTTGCCTCTCTGAGAATGCAATAGATATTGTGCAAGTGTTCGTGCAAGGATCACCCAATGATCCTGCCTGTGAACTACACACCAAAATATTTTAAAGGCTGGAAGCAGAGGCAGCTCTGTCTTCCTGCTGCTCTTCTGCAGCTGGGCTGAGAGCTGAACTGGATCCTGTTGTGATCTGGCCACAGGTTGGGGCTGCCACCATCCCATGCCCCTCTGTTCCAGCGTGGCCTTGCTGCCAGCTGTGTGACAAATACCTGGTGTTTGAATGGGGGGACCAGAGAAATGTGTGTGCTTTAAAAGCCACAGGCTGCACTTCAAAAGAATTTCCTCATTTAACAAGCATGTTTGTCCCTGCTTCAGTGAAAGAAACTGTCAGCTGGGGTATAGACAAAATTCTGCTTATAAATGTAACATAGGGTTAAGTCATACGAAAAGAATTCCATCACTGAGCATGGCTTAGAAGTGATGGCATAATAGATAAGTCTGTGCTTTGAAAAGCTTGAGGCACAAGTGGAAACAGCATGAGGGAAGGCAGCACACTACATTCCAGATGTTTTGCAGTAGAAGGGGATTTGCAAGAAAATTTGTAAAACCGAAAGGATTTTTTTTAATGCTGTTACCAAAAAGGTATTCTGAAATGTCTCTGGGTCTGATGTTTTTACTGTAGAGATAAGGGCACCTTCAAGGGAAGATAGAGAAGCTCTATTTTTCCTATGGAATTGTACCTTATTCATCAAGGTAGCTTATTCATCTATCTTACTAAAATCAAAGGGGCTTGTGGGGAGAGGTGCCATTCAGCTTCAGAACAAATGCCAGGAACTAGTGCTTTATGAATATTGGCTATTGCTGGATGTAGAGCATAATGTCCCTAATGAAGGGAGAATAAGGCTATGAATAGCTCACTGCATAGAAAAAGAGAGCAACAGGGGAAAAAAAAGCAGTAATCAGAGGAGGGTGCAGTCAACAGTGACACAGCCACAGCCATCACAAACCCTCCACTTTTTGACTTGTAGGATGTGGAACCACTCCCACTTTGGTTTGGTGTAAATGGTCCTCCAAACAAACCTTTCCTGAGCACTGAGTTAGACAGAACAGAGCCTCTGGTAAATGCAGAAAGCAACCCCTACAGAGTGAGGGAACAGCAGATCAGGCTAATTGATGCCTTAGGAGTGGAATGATGCTTACCTGTGCCAGATGCAGATAGTGGAAGAACTGGAAGGTTTGTGCACATAGGTCTGCAGACCTATGGACATGCAGCAAGTCCTGTCCTGTACAAGAATGGCCCAATACCTACTCCAAAATCCCAGTGTTAGAATGAGATTTTCCACCATTTCCAATGGTGAAAAGCCAAAGGCTCCAGACCCACTGAAACTGAACTCTGCCACAACACTTCCTGCCATGCAGAAAAAAGTCTATTCTAGTCTGTTAAATGCATCATTCTCCTTCACCTGTGAATCCAAAGGGAAAAAAATTAGGCATAAGTCTGGTGAAAACAGTAAGGAAAACTACAGAATACCTCTGAGAACAGAAATTTTCTAGCTGTGGACTCAGACTTTTCCACCAGTCTTAGCTCATTTCCCTGAAACAGCCTACGTGTTTTGAAATATTTCCTGTCTCAGTCCTTTTCTGGAGAAAGACAAAGACCCAGCTTTTTACTTTCTGTGCATGTGTTCAGAATTTCAGCCCATAGCAAATGTGGGTGAATGGCAGAAATTTAGGTGCCAGCTTTGTTTGCTTGTTTATTGAGTAAGTCCATTTTCAGGCTGAAGAGCTGGGTTAGAATTTGGCCAGAACTCCTGAAATTCACGTGAAAATGCCAATATCCTGTTGGGCCCTTTATTTATGTTTTATTTCTCCTGTCTCAGAGAAAACAAACGACTGCGTTGTTCCTCCTGTGCCTCCACCTTATAATGTCATTACTGCTTCAATTATCATCGTTATCACCTTCATTTTGGCTACCACTCTGGCAGCAAGATACCTCTCCAGGCATGGTAAGTGCAGCTTTTTTTCCAAGATGTCTCT